ACCTAATGGTCAGGGGTCCTTTTACCTTTTTATATTAAAACACACACATACACACAATGAAATTATGGCCATTTTTGGTTTCTCAGTGCAAATCAATGGGATTTACAAAGATTTGTAATTTGGGTTGGAAGAGGTCCAAATTGGTCTAGACTGAACTGAGTCTCATATGGATTAGCAAATCAGGATCACAAATTGGATTGGGTGGGGGTCTGTACACAGGTCTGCAAATTAAAAACTGGCTGCGTTACAACTGGGAAAAGAAAACAGTGGTGGAATTTTATGTCACGACTCCCACAGAGAGAATCATTCTATGGTTTTTGCTATTTTGTTTTTTACAGAAACTGTAATATGTTCTAAGCCTGCCCTATGCCTGAGTGGGGAACAACAATGGTTGTGAAATAGTCCACTAAATTTCCCCTGAGGCAGAATCAACCTCTTTGAATTTTTCTTCCCAATGAGAAGAATTACACAACAGCAAAACTTTTTTAGTTCTTGTTGATATGATTTAATAAGTGTCAGTCATCCAAAAGCCCCTGGTGGAGCACTCTCTATTTCATATGTTATAGTCCTTAGTCTTCTGGGTATGTAAATGTTTTGTTTGTTTTCTCCTCTTTATACTGAACAAAAATGTGGTTTTTTAGATGGGGAATTTGAACTATAGGCTGGCCGCTTCTATAATCCTACTAGGAATACATAATCAGAAAAGTATTTGTAGTCCTATTTACATAAAAAGGGGCTTCTGCAGGCATGAGAGTTATTGGTAATGCAGTGGGGACAGAATTTCCCTCTGCTGAGGGCACAAGGGACAATATCAGTAATCAAAAGAAGCATTGGTGTGGGGCGCTCATGTAAACCACATTGGGCAAACAGAAAGCGGAGCATTATGTGTGTACTTCAGGAAGAATGGAGTTAATAATATAAAAAATTGCAACTTATGATTGTGCCTGGTAGGTCTTCCTAATTATTATTTTTCTAGATTCCTTTGTTCTGTATTACTGGAATTGTTTGATATTTCTTGATTACTGGGGAAAATGCTTTTATCTGTTCATTTTTCTATAATGAAAATGGACCGGAACTGAGGATGGGATAGTATCCTCCATCACAAGAGGCGGCAGGCTAGTATATGTGTGGTATATACAGCTCTATCCTTCAGCATAGGTTAATGGCCAGGGGCTCAGAAGCAGCAGCCAGGAAGTTGCCTCTGCTGCCCTGGACTCAGCATCTATCACTTGGAATTGTCATCTCACACTGCTCAGTGGTTGGGCCAGGAAGAAGGCTAATGTCAAGATGTAATCTAGCAGATTGTGAGGTAAAGCAGAGTTGGAAGCTAGTAGATCATGGTTGCAGCAGGATAGAATGTAGTTTGTCCTACCCTTTATCTGGTTTCCTGATGGAATACAGGTCATGTTATACCTATTTATGGAACATGCATGTTTTCACTAGTGTTTTTGTTTCTGTTGAACACCATATAATTGTGAAATGACTGTTTTTAATGAAAGGGCTGGTGCCTTGCTGTTTTTATTGTAATTATGTGTATGTTTTTAATAGATCTAATATGCTTTTAGGGACGCAGGTGGTGCTGTGGATTAAACCACAGAGCCTAGGACTTGCTGATCAGAAGGTCAGCGGTTCGAATCCCCGTGACGGGGTGAGCTCCCGTTGCTCGGTCCCTGCTCCTGCCAACCTAGCAGTTTGAAAGCACGTCAAAGTGCAAGTAGATAAATAGGTACCGCTCCGGTGGGAAGGTAAACAGCGTTTCTGTGCACTGCTCTGGTTTGCCAGAAGTGGCTTAGTCATACTGGCCACATGACCCAGAAGCTGTACGCCGGCTCCCTCAACCAATAAAGCGAGATGAGCGCCGCAACCCCAGAGTCAGTCACGACTGGACCTAATGGTCAGGGGTCCCTTTACCTTTAATATGCTTTTAATTAATTGGTGTGTGGGTGTGTGGGTGTGTGGATATATATATATATATATATATATATATATATATATATATATATATAATGTCTTTAGCTTTTCTTGTTTTATCTGTAAGACGCCTTGAGTCCCTGTCAGGAAAAAGATGGGCAATCATCATTGTCATCATCATCATTTGTTTTACTGATGGTTGTGTGAACTGCTTTGTGACCATTTGTGCCAATAAACAGTCTATAAATATTGGAAGTTTAAAAAAAAATTGGTAAAATACTGACTGCTTGGTAATCCTTACCACATCAGATCTCTCAAGTGGCTGCCTTTGAAACATTCTGACTTTACATGCCCTGGAATAAAGGATGTCCTTTGTGTTCCACAGACTTCTATAAAGTCCAAAGATGATGGAGAATTGTTTCAGAATAACAAAGCTGCTCTAGTTAATAGGATCACAAGTCACTTGCAAAAAAAGGTTCAGGCAAGAGGGGGTGTCCCTGCCTCCCCCCTCAACAGCAGGAGCTTCGTGAGAGCAATAATGAGGAATTTGAATCTTCACAGGGCACTTGCAAGCTCCCAAACTCGGCATACATTTTGTCTTATTTGATTAGCTTTTGATGTTCCTGATTGCAACAGCTTTAAGAAACTGCAGCCAGAGAAGAGCGGGAGGTGACAGGAAACGTTAGCACTTCATTCCGAAAGCGGGGCTAATGAATTGTGTGGCGCAACGAAAATTAATTTAAGGAAACCTGCTTGGATTAAAAGTGAGATCCCAAATCTGCTAGCAGTTTGTCAAAACGGGGCTTGAGGAGGTCAGTGTTAGAGCTGAGAACAGTTTCCTGGTTTTGTTTTTTTTAAAAGAAATAGTTGAGCACGGCGCTGTTCCTTCTGTGCAAGGGCATCATGCCAGCCTCAAAATCTGGATGGTGTTAAAAGAGAACCCCCAGTGGTTTTCCACAGTGCCTGGCCCCAATAAATGCATTTTGAACTGTGAAGCAACAGTCACATTCTAAAGGCTGGATTATATCACAGGATCTAGTAGGGGGTTTTGCAGGCAGTGAACTAAGACACCAATCACCTCCAGACCTCTTAGCCACCACTGGTCAGAGGTGATGGATATTGTATTACAGCAACATCTGGAGGGGCAACAGCTGACAATCACTGGCACAGAGAAGAAAAGTGCCAGCTGTGAGGCAAGAAGTCCCAACTTTAAATAACATCTCAGCCACAAATCCACTAGGTTAGTTAAACCAGAAACTAAAGCAAAGGCACTATCTCTCACTTTCACATACAACATGAGGGCAAAATTACTGGTCTGACTCCAGCAGATGGCAAGACTGGGCATTTGGCAGGCATCTAAGACCAGTATAGGGCCCACTGTCCTCAGAGGTCTACCATATTCACCTAGCACAGAGTATTCCAGGAGGTCAGATACAGCCTAAGAGAATGTTCTGCTTCTATGTTCTGGGACAAGGTGCAGGAATGGTCAGCAGGCTGGGGTGGGGGCTTTGCACCTAGACTCCTGGAAATTCTGTGACAGTGTGCCCCTCTTTTAACCCAACTGCTGGAACTCAAACCTTCATTCCATACTACAAAAGACACAGGGCAACTGGGCAGTTGAACAAAAACAAATAAATATGGCATTGTTACTTGCTGATAGAAATATTGACATTGTAAAGAGAGCCGTGCCAAAATTGCAACCATAGCACTTTGGAAATTTGAAGCAGAACATGTAATTGATTGTTTTTTATGATGCATGATACTGCAGTTTATGGAATTTTCCATTTATTTTATACTTTTACATATTTATGGATGCTTGGGGATTTGAAATATATATTTTTAAGTCTATCTCTAGGCAAGAGAAGAACCCAGAATTATCATTCAGTGTCAAGGAGCTTCACATTTTTTAGTTAGTTAGAGCTTTGGGGGCATAGCTGTCAACTTACAGATTTGAAAATAAGGGACAGCAACCTTGAAAATAAGGGACCAGCAGCCAAAATAAGGGACCTGCAGCCTCACCTGTTCCAGGCACTCCAGTCTTCCTGTCCTTCTGCAATCTGGTCAAACTCATGCTGGTAGCTTCGAGAACACTGTCCAACCAACTTTGTAACCAGAGGTTCAACTGAATAGAATCTGAATCACATGCACCACAAGGCCTATGCAGCCTCAACTTAAGATGGCTCCCCGGCCTGGCTTTGCACTGCAAAGTTTGCAGCAGCACGTGCAACAAAATGGCGTCCAGCATTCAACCCCCCCCCCAGCTTGCATTAACTAGCCACACACAAGGCATGCAAGCTCCACCCCCCAGCAGCAGTGGCGTAGCGTGGGGGGTGCAGGGGGGCCGGCCGCACCAAGCGCAACATCTGGGGGGGTGCGCTCGCACTCGCAGCTCTCTGCCCCTACCTGGCTCACTCACTCTCACTGCAGTGCTGGCTGTGCAAATCCGATCCGAGCCGTTGGGTCGCCACCCACTGTGGAGGTGGTGGGTGCCAGGCGTGCGGTGCGGAGAGAGAGCGAGGGACTATCTGGGGGAGGGACAGTGCAGCGGCCGCCCAGCGCAGCGCTGAGCGCGGGAGAGAACCAGACCAGCCCAGGCAGCAGCAAGAAGAAGCTGGCAGTGGCAGCAGGTTAGGGGTTAGGGGGTGCAAATTACTTGCCTTGCCCCGGGTGCTGACAACCCACGCTACACCGCTGCCCGGCAGGGAGGGAGGGAGAGGAGCTGCTTCCTTTGAAATTTAAGGGACATCATTTAAGGGACATTTAAGGGACATCCATCAATAAGGGACAGCAGCGGGACATGGCGCTGGAATACGGGACTGTCCCTTCAAATAAGGGACACTTGACAGCTATGTTTGGGGGTCTCGTAAAAGCCCCAACTCAAAAGAGAGGCAAGCTTTACAAGAATTCGGCTTCTTTTGTTGCCACAGGACTGGCATCGGCGCTGCTTCTTCACCAGTTGCTAAGGGTCCCAAGGGGCTATGCCTGGCCACGATCATACTTACTCACTCCCTTACTCCCAACTCAGTTTTCACCTGGTGCTTTGGTGCTGTGAGCTTCCTATGTAAAATTTCCAGCAATGCCCCACAGCAGTGCTCAAGCTCAGTGGCAGATCATCTGCTTCACATGAAGAAGGTCCTAGGTTCAGTCCCTGGCATCTCCTGGTATGACTGAGAGACATCGTCATCTGAATCATTGGAGAGCCACTGCCAGTCAGAGTTGGCAATACTGATGTCAGGGACTGGACTGGAGAGGAAGGCTGGGAATCACCCCCTCCTTCTCCTCTGCTTCCCTTGGATCACACCCCCTTCTCCAGTAGTTTCAAAAGAAGAGGGAGACAGGATTGAATTGCAGCAGAACTCAGAGCTGCCAAGTTATGAGGTGTTAGGAGGGGGGGGGGAATTGCCAGCAGAGACGTCCTTGGAAAGCACAGAAGAGCCACCATCCCCGCGTACTGGCCATTCACTTATAATTCAAGACCAAAGGGCTCAAAAAAGTTAGACTCCTGAGGCCACCGTAGGGTCACAGGCTGTTGCTGGGGAAGGAAGGGGAGGAGATCAGAGTGAGCAACGTCACTATGGAGTCAAGGACTGGATTCTTTGTCTTGCACCACTGAATAAAATCATAACTATGAACTTTCTTGTTCCTTCCTTGATCCTTGATGCTGCCGGGGAGGATAGAAACCCCCAAGCCTGACAACTGAGAGAGACAGACCACTTGTTTGACTTCCTATGTCCATATGATCATGACACGGCTGCTGTCCACCATCAAAACCAGTAAGACAAGGGTAAAAGACGGCTCCCCAGCTGATGGCAGAGGACCCCATCAGATGACAGTTTACCAGAGACCCTCTTGAACATGGAGCAAGCTCAGATTTATTTCTTTTTGTTGTTGTTAATAGCTCTATTCTCATGGCACTTTAGTAAAATGCTCCGAGGTGCTAGGAAAAATGGTGAAGAAGTAATTCAAATAGTGTGTGCTCTCAAAGGCTAGAATGACCACATGGACAGGAAGACTGTGTTCCTGCAGAGCAAGTGTAGGGAACCTTTGGCATGCCAAATGCTGTTGAACTACAACTCCCATCAGCCTCAGCAACCATAGTTAATAGCCATGTGTGAGTTCAGTAGTGTCTGGAGGGACATGGGTTTCCCACACCTGACATACAGGATGTATTGGAAGCTTGACTCTTGCCCCAGACTTGGCTGAGAAAAATGCATCACACTCTTTGTCTTCGTCTCGCTTATTATGGCAGTATTTTTCTATGATTTGAGCCCACCATCAAGGAATGAATTGCCCTGATGATTCCCGCTGGAAGGCTGGATTTCACAGAGCAAGTCAGCATAGAGTCAGCATCGTCTCTCCCTGACATCTCTGAGATTTAGAGCTATCTTGGAAAGCTTTTGCTTTATACATACATAACCCACCCCATTTTATGTACTGATGTTACTTATGTTCTCCTCTGCCACATCGCTCCGCATCTGGAAGCCTCAAATTCTCAGAATGGCCATTGAGAGTTTCAAAATGTCATTTTATTTTCCCCTGACATCTTTATTTCCCTCTACAACCCAGGTTATGTTCCCGAGCCGCGCTTTGCGATGAAAGCAAGTGCTTCTCTAAAATATAGCTTTGAAGTCCGTTTATTATTATTCACTGCAGAGTTAACTGGAGCAGGATGTTACCTTCCCTCTGTACCTTACAGGAGGAAAAGAGCCGACTGACTGACAGCAGGAAAGCTGCAGCAACAGCTGAATTCCAGAGTTTTGTAATGTTGATATGCAGGCAGGAATAGCCCTGTCCTCTAAATTACCAGTATACTAGGGAAAGGAGAGTTTTGTTTCAATTACATTTCAAAGCCACTGGGCTCAGCAACCCCTGGCCTGCCACAATTAAATATTAATATTCTGCCATGACTCAAGTAATTCTGGGGCTGTTTTCTCTGTTGGTCTGGTGTTTTCAGAGACTGTCAAGGAAAGCTGTCCCCTAGACCATTTTATGGAGGAAATCAAATCAATTTGGGGACCTCCTGAAAGTGTACTGAGGGAGCTTAATTGTGTGTGAAATAACTGGGGCAGGGGCAGGGGAGCTGTGTGCATACCTAAGAAAAACATAAATACAAGAGACAAATAGCCACCTTTCCCCAGGCTCGATTCCTGTGCTTTTTGAACAACTCTTGTGGTAGGCAGAAACCAAACAGGATAAGCATTCCATCACTTGGGCCTATTGTAGGAAAGAGCCAGATTTTTATTTTCTACTGAGCAGCATGTCATGACCCTGGCATCCTGTTCCTGTCTTTCAGAACAGCTGTTTCAGAACAGCTATTCAAGGGGGGGGGGCTATGCTGGGGAGCTTGCATTGCTTCCTTTGACCCTGAGGACCCCTGTCCAGAAGCTCCAGTGGAAGTATGCTGAGACAAGATTCCAAGGTCCCCAGATTGCTTAAAGCCCCAGACTGTATCTTATCTCCTGACATCCCTGGGTTAGCTTCTTACTCTGAAAGTTTAGGTACTCTTTTCATCACCAGATCTTGTGTTTGTAATACTATGCAGTACCCCCACTCCCAAGTCTCCCCCCTCCCCCACACCACTTAGCTCACCACCAGAGTTGCTAGCCCCAGATCCTACCTTCTGTCTTACCTTGGCCTCAAGCCACCACCTTGTTTGTACTCAAACTACCCTCCTTATTTCTCCTTTCTCTTCCTGCATTCTGTCCCCGCAGCTCCAGGTCCCCTCCTCTTTGACCAGGACTTGACTCAGCTGTGTGAGCAGCTTACCTTTTCTTTCGCTGACTGTCTTGAGTCTCCTCCACCACAACCCATCAGTTTCTGGTCCATTCGGCTTTTTATCTAGTAGTGCTATTAGAGGGGCAGCTGCAGTCTCCTGACACATGGTCTCTCCTGCACTGTCCAAGGCAATGGCTGGGTTGAACCACATTATGCCCCATTAACCTAAAGCTCATTTGGGGGGTTATGTGTTCTTGCAGCATTATTTAAGCTTTGTTTTTATGAGTAAGTACAGTCATACCTTGGAAGTCGAATGGAATCTGTTCCGGAAGTCTGTTCAACTTCCAAAACGTTCAGAAACCAAAGCATGGCTCCTGCAGCCAATCGGAAGCTGCAGAAGCCCCATCGGATGTTTGGGTTCTAAAGAACATTCACAAACCGGAACAATCATTTCCAGGTTTGTGGCGTAGGGGAGCCAAAACGTCTGAGTACCAAAGCATTCAGGATCCAAGGGACGACTGTATTCTGCTTGAGTGTCACAGGGAGCTGTCCAGGGTGCTACCCACATCCTGAAGCTTTGCCTTGCCAGAACCTGGAGTTTGTTTTACCTTATTTTACCTTTGCTTGAACCTGTTCTGCCTTGTTGAAACCTGGACTTTGCTCTGCTTTGCCTCACCTGATTCTGCTTGCAGGACCCTGCACTCTTACTGTGTACCCTTGCTTGGGCCAGAACCTTCAAACCAACCCCATCACTTTGAACAGAACAAGAAGCTTCCCGCCGGCAGAGAACCTCTTTAAGGCAACTCAGGAAGGTGTCCCTCTCATTAGTGTTCTGGTAAGAATCAAAAGGGATGTGTATTAAGAAGCACGTGGAGATTATAATTAAATCCCAAAATAAACAGAATCTTAAATTAGAATTTTAATTAAAGCTGCAATCCTAAAATACTTACTTGGATATATATCTTATTGAAATCCAATGGAACGTATTTGTGAGAAAAACAAGCTTAGGAAAGAGTGTTAATATCGGTTGTGTACAAAACATTTAATTTTTAAATCAGAAACGGGATTTCTCAGTACTTACTTTGATTGACCTACAGTCTAGGTAAAAGGTAGAGGGGCTTTGCAGGGAGAAAAATCCTCCCATTGTTCCGCAAATAAGCACCCTTGTCTATGGGTTGTTAGCCAGGGATAATGTCAGTGAAACCTGTGCTTAAAGGCTGCCCCCCTCCCACTTTGATTTTCGGGCACCTTATTTGTCTACCTTAACTATTCCAAAACTCAGACGGGCCTTTACATTGGCCAGACTAAATATGTTACCCTCCACTGTTCTTGAAGGTAGATATCAAAAAATTTCATTCGAGAACCGGCTCTGCCCCTGTGGAGCTGGCTACGTAGAGACTGTGTCACACGTTCTCCTGTCTTGTTCCCTATATAAAGATCTCAGGGACGAGACCATCACGCCACTCCTATCTGCCATCCCGGGCCGCTCTTGTGAAGCCAAATTGTTCTCACTCCTAGCCGACCTGAACAGCTCGACAACAGAGAAGGTTGCTAAATTTATCGAGAGAGCAATGAGACTGAGAGCTGCCATCTGAATGACATCAGTGTGGTCATCCGGATTTCTCGCTTAGGATCTTATCATTATTATCATTATGTTTTATTATTAGTATTTTATTATTTCTGCCAAGTTTTAAGTACTGAGATTATTAATTTATCTGCATCTGGTTATTATTATCTTTCTCCCTGTCCTGACCATTTATATTTATATTCTTTCAATTTGGCTGGTCTATTTACTTAACCGACCTGGAACAATCTACCAGAGAAAAGGCCGCCGCCCATGGGACAGAGGGTCATTGATGAATGATAATCCAGCTTTTACCTAGGGTTTTAATAGGCCATAAGATTATACGGTAACTATATTTGTAATGTATTTTTGTCGGTGTTTGTCCTTTGATGCTATGGCCTGTTGGCTACGCAAATAAAGTCGTTGTTGTTGTTGTTGTTGTTGTTGTTGTTGTGCTTAAAGGGTTCAAACACCTACCCAGATGCATACACCTACACAGTGCTGTTAGCACAGTAAGGCTCTGACACTCCCCCACCTCTTTTTTTTAAGCACTGAATGGAAACTTGATCAGATAAATATGCCAGACCTTTGCACATGAATAAAAATATGAACAACTCATCTGAAGTGGTGCGGGGGAGGGGGAAAGACAGATAGAGATACTGAAAATTTAGTCCACAGGCTGTATGTGTGTCTTCAAAGAAGCAAAAGGGAACCAGAGCACTGCTAAAACTGTTTAGATGGAGGAAATGAGTAGTGTTTGTTGGTCCCGATGCAGCCAGTTCTCTTCAAAGGTGCATGCTTGAAATCTCTTGCTGGAGAGAAACAGCAGTGCTAGGTTGTTGTTGAGCACTGAAGAATTTAATGCACAGACTCCTCAGTGG